TTTTTTTTTTTTTTTTTTTTTTTTTTTTTTTTTTTTGCTAAAAGTAGTTTGGAACTAAATGAAATATGTGAAAATTAAAGTAAATACATATATATTTGCGGATGTAGTCTGCTTTCATACTCAATTCCTTTTGTTTCTTAACTATATATTTATAGTTTAATCTCGTAATTGCAGACTTGACCACATCATAATCTTGTTTTCTTTCCGGAATGAAACCACTAGAATTTCGAGAAAAAATCCTCTGTCACTTTCAAGGTCATGTTAAACGTTATGTTTTCCTTCATACCCTTCTTTCTTCGACCTCGGTTTGGCATAGTCTTTTTATTTTGTACCAGGCACGAGCGATCTAAGATTTTATACGCATGACTTACTGTTGCCAGCATGGTTCGTTATATAATAATGCATTGTTGTTTCTGTACTATCATCCTCACGTGGAACAAATCTACGTAATCTTGTACCACGTAAAAAAGAACTTCAGATTACGAAAATTGGAAAAAAGTATGAAAAACTGTTGCAAGTTCCGTTATTGGTGGATACAGAAATAAAACTGACACGCCATATTGTTTTTATGAACACTAGATCTATCGTACCTAGATTTTTTTTTTTCTGGTTTAATATCACGAATTGGAATTTAATTTGCCTTGTGGTGGTTATATGTAAACAATAATTATTTTGTACATTTACGTTCCAAAAACAATTAAATTGTAATTCCGCCTTAAAATTTGGTGCCAACTCGTAAGATTACTTGTTGACTAATAAAAACCAGTTATTTGGACCAATACATCGGCTTCACCAGCTACACGACACGTGTTATGCATACTAATAAAGCTGATGAATTATTCGGTAGACCTAAGGTGTTTTTTTTTTTAGTATAACGCATCATTTCCAGCATATATAAATCTGTAATAATCGCTTCTGATAGATTTATTCCCCTTAAACGAATTTTCTTAACTTCATTGTTTTCCTACTGTTCGTATTATAATTTCAAATGATCTGAAATTGAGTTAAATGATACTTTAAATTTATTATTTAAATTGTACTTTGGATTTATTAGTTAAATTAAAGCCGATATATAGTCAGTTTACGATATTTGCCAACAATATTGATGCACACAGTTTTCTTTTTTTAACACAAATACGTTTTAATATACATACAACAATACAATATACAATAACACTACAATTACTGGTGAACCGCTATTGTGAGTTCAGCGTTGATTTCGTATTCCTACACTGTATACTAATAGGTTGGCTTATCTATAAAAATGCACCTTATCAGCGACACATAACATCGCAAACTTATAAATATGTTTATTTATCCAATTATTTATACAGGTAGGGAAGACAATAATAAAGCAGTACAAGAAGATTACTACGAAATGCTTCGAAGTTAAGTCTTGTTCAGTGACAACATAATTGATATCCTGTATACGTTATGCCGTGTTCGCTTTTCTTTGTTTTTCCAAGCAAGCTGAGTAAAAGTATTTGTATGACTGATAATCCTGTATACGTTATGCCGTGTTTTCAATGTTTGTTTTTCCTAAGCACGCCAAATAATTGTATTTGTATGAACTATCTACACTGAAATAACATAGGTTGTTATGTACTTATGTATCCTGAATGATGTACGTCCGGTTATTTAAATGTTGATGTTTACATCGACTATGCGTTTGTTTTGTATTATCTTTGTATTTCCGTATATACATTAACAATAGTGGCTTTCAATGTGTGCAAATTTATCTGACTACTCTGCGAACTTACGATAAGTAGTACGGTTGTTAAATTTATCTTAAATCTTCCTCCTGAGTCCTTGTAACAAGCTATAAACAATACACCAGTTTCTGCGACCGTTTCAATGTTATCCGGTTATAAGTTAAATTTTGATAGACTTTCCCTTTGGCAATTGTACGTCAACTAGAAAATAGCCTCAGAATGGTATAATTAAAATTGAAGGCGCGGAAAATCGAACGTTGGTATAATAGTTAGATAGAAAAAACCCCAAAGCTTCTTCAATTGCAAATACAATATTTGTGTTTATTTATAGGGGTTAGGGATCTAGGAAATATGCTAATACACATGTTAAAGTGATTCTAAAAATATGCGTATGACGTTTCAAATTTATGAGTTATATGATCAATAAAGGACAAAAAATACCTATTTTTAATTAAGGTAGATATTTTAAGGATTAACTGTTCATTATAAATTGTTTTATGACTGTCTTACGTACGTTTCTATTAACAGGCGTTCTGGACAATGATACAATAACAATGATGAATATGCCACGTTGTGGAGTCAAAGATATAGTTGGCCATAGCATTTCAGCTAGGAAAAAACGATATGCCTTGCAAGGTCAGTATTTATTAAATTACAATTTGTTGTTACTACGTTGTTGTTGTTGTTTCGTTTTTTTATAACGTTGCACATTTCAACTCTTCACGTCGATTAAGAACTGTTACGATGCCTTCTGCACCACCTGGTGGAGTTTCATTGTACTATATACTGTACACATTTTATAGCTTTGGTTATTTATAAAATTCCTTTACTTTACTGCCACGCCTCTAGCTGAACAGTAATTACCACATACAATACTCTTTAGAAAAGCTGTGAATGGCTGTGAATTAATTGTAGATATATTTAATACAGTTTTTACTTACTAACCCATAACTATTAGATGCATAAACACTTATGCTAACAAAATAGAAACGAATTGAGCTCTGCTATTAATTATTTTTTTCAGCTATTAGGCTCTAAGCATTTGTAGTCTAACCAATATATACTAATGATTTAGTAGTTATGAACTCGTCTGAGGATATCAGCATAGGCTTTGAGGGTAATGAAATCTCCTAAAGATATCAGCATAGGGTTTGAGGGTAAATCGAACAATGTTAACGCTGCTCTCGTTTTCGGTGGCAATGGAAAGACATAAAGGAAAAACTAACCAAAGAAATATTATGCTGTACAAATCTTGTTTGTGTTTGGTTATTGTTTTGTTAGAAAGGTGGTTGGTCCTTCACTTCGCGTAGCTTAACATCGCGTTTCACATATACGTAAATAGCCTTTTAATTCATCCTTCTGTGATATGTACTTTATAAAATGTTTCCACAAACTCGTGTTATAACACTGATATAGTGATATATATATATGTATCTTTATAGCTGCATCAAGATTTATCGAAACCTTTCAAACGCGATATGAATAAGCTAGTAATGTTTATGTACCAATATACGGGACACATAACTACAGTATTTGAGTCTAAACTCAAAGTTCTGTGACATTGTTTACCTCTGAGTATTGAGTTATCAGAGCTAAGGTGAAGAGTTAAAATACAATGGGTAATTGTAAATATTGCAACTTCTATATATGATTTTCCTGGACTTACAGGGTAGAACCTTCTTATTGGTGATCTTAAGTTGTTATTGCTATATGTTTATGTATCTTAAACAAATAAATTTATAAACTTTTTAGGCAGTAAATGGAGGACTACTAGTTTAACCTACAAAATCGGTAAATATCCTAGCCGAATAAAGGATCATTTAAAAGTGGACAAAGAAATCGAAAAAGCTTTCAAGGTAAATCTCGTTTTGTTATATATATAACATGATTTGGTTGCAAAAAAACAAAAAAAAACAACTTTAAAGTCGGCATTCATATCAAGATTTCTGTTATTAAGTTTATTTTGTTGTATGAAAAATGTTACTTGAAATTATTATGAACCAAAAAAGCTTAGGAACTTCCACTTCGGGAGGTAGGCCTATTTTCTTTATATTTTGTCCCATAAGATAGAAATTAATACCAACAGAAAAAAAAATTCCATTGGCATAATTAAAGGAAACACTGTGCATAAGTATTTCCCATTTGTTGTCAGTCATTGAGATCACGTTGACGTTTATTAAAGAAAGTCTTTCTATGCTGAATAAATAACTTAATTGATCATTACTATTTTCTTTAAAGATTGTGCGTTTATGTACATTGTTTGTAATTTAATGTTTTATGGTGAATCTAAATGACATAACGTGTGTTGTGTTTTTATTTAATCTCAGTGCTGGTAATCATTATAGCATTACAAACATGTAATTATTGAATAATTCAATAACACATTAATCTTACTGTAATAGACGTAGCGTGTATATATGTATCTATCTATGTATGTGACCGAAATAAATATAATGTGGCGCCATCTACCGAATATCACCACAAACAAACATCCATAAAAAAAATCACACTTTGGGAATTCAAGATTCAGACAATTAAAAAATAACAATGGTATATGCAACAGAACACAATTTTAAAAAAAAATATTCTCCTCAAACCAACAACAACACAACTTTCACTAGGATTACACGTGAGGGTTTGATTATATTTTTATTGATGTAATTGGTAAATATAGTAATAAAAATGGAATTCTTAAAAAATCTGTTATTTTTTCAGTAAAGAGTAACACTTTTAATATATATATATGAACATTACAACTTATATCAGCATAATCCGAACACTTTTCCCGTGCAGTACTTCTCAGAAAAATCCTTTTTTATAAAATATTCACATTTTCAATTTTTATTTTCAATGAGGTATGAATACTACGATTAGTAATTAATACTAGCACAAACAGTCTGTCGTAGGGCGGCGTTTCTGCCAGTTTCTCATGAAACATGCAAATATATATAGTCGAAATATGAATAGTTGCATTTATACATAAGAGTATTATCGTGTCCATATAGATCTGGAGTGATGTCACATCCATAAACTTCATACATAAAAAGAATGGGCGCGTCCATATAGATATACGGTTTGAGGAGGGAGAACATGGCGATGGTGACCCCTTTGATGGCCCTGGAAAAACCTTGGCTCATGCTTTCTTTCCCCAGTTTGGTGGAGACGCACACTTTGACGATGAAGAAAAATGGAGCATCAATTCTTATTATGGTACGAATATATAGTGTCAGTAAAGTGAAACTTTTGTTGTTTGTGATTAGTTTTAGCTAGCAACATTGAAATCTTAATTAGGTCTATATATCAATTAATTATTTTATCATTATTAATTTTGAAAGTTATTTGCATGTATATATATATATATATATATATATATATCGTATATAAGACAAGAGTCAGAGGGAAAATAATGACCTAATGGAAGTAATCCAAATAATTAAACCATACTCTAATCCTAACTATTAATAATAACTGATATTATAGTATTGCTGGGTGTATAATAGTTAATTACTGGGTATTAAAAAATCTAATATTTCTTATACGTTTTACTTGATAGGAACAAATCTTTTTCAAGTTGCGGCCCACGAATTTGGCCATTCTTTAGGATTGTCGCATTCAGACGTTAAAAAAGCACTCATGGCACCTTTCTATCGAGGCTACGATCCCAACTACAAACTGGACGAAGATGATATACTAGCAATTCAAGTACTATACGGTAAGTAGCTTCTACATCAGGAATCGGCTCTCAAATGTTATTTGATTTTAGGCCAATACTCATTCTAGAAGCATACACTCATTAACTCGGAGGTTACAGTGAATTGGCTATTCATATACATAAATATTTATTTATACACACACATATATATATGTATATATATACACAGCAGGAGTTGTGAGGGAAAATCTTAAGATAGTTAATTTACTGTGAGCTTACTTATTCCTTTTAACATTTCTTTGTTTCCATTGTGAATTGTGAGCGTTAATTATGTTATTATACAAGCGGCACCTTATTAAAAGTATAGGCAACGAGTTATGAAAACATGGCGACACATAGTCTTGCTTCTCATCATTACATTTACGAAAACAGTAAGTAACTCTATGAGCATTTCTCAGAAACTACTTCATAGTCCATGTTTTCTGTTCATTCGTTTTTGGAATCCAGTAAGTATATACATTGAATTGAAATACGTATAGGATTATGTGTGTATATTATTTTATTTTCTAGTTCCTCACGTGCTCATATTTGTATGCACTGTACACGTGTTAAATTCTAAATAAAAAATTAACGTTGACGGTTACTTTAGTAAATGGGTGTATTAATCAAGTCATGAAGTATTTGTGCTACCTACAAATGATATTAACAGCTTTGTTTAAGAACAAATTAATAAAAAAAACAATAATACTTGTAGATGTCGCCGTTCTCACACACTATACCTTTGAAAATGACGTACGTGGTACGTCGAAAATAGTCGTGTAATTAACTGTTTATTTTTGTAAACTGATTTTAGTTAATTTGTGTTTTTTACTTAATTTATGCTTTTAAAAAGCTCTTAATCTTAATATTAAGTCAGTATATTGTTGTATTTTGTGTTTATGTTTGATCTCTGTCCATTGGTAATTATTGTAGATTTATTTTACTATCACAAACTCTACTAGAAAATTCTTCATTTCTAAGACAATACAAACTTATTTCTGTTATGTTTAGGCACTCGTTCTAATGACAGAAAGGATGGTGTAAACGGCGTTGATAAACAAGATCACACGCCTTCCTCACATCCCGACACTGGCGATGCTCCTGATCTTTGTCAGGATTCTTCCATTGATGCTGTTACAAAGACTGAAAACGGACAAACTTACGTATTTAAAGGTTAGTATATATTTTGCGGAAACAATCTTTATAAAAAAATGAAAGTTTTAATACAGCAACATATTAACGTGGAACTAACTTGATTTAAAAAAATTATCTATGTGTATCACAAAGTTTACTTGACAAAATGTTCTTTCACTTTTATTTTTTTAAAGCATTTTTCGAGACTCCTCCTTCGATGCTTGTTTTATTAAGCATAACTAACCCTTTTGAGCTATTTCACATTGATAACTTTGTCGAACACTTTCAAACTCCTTGGTCATATATAACCTTGTCGAACTCTTTCAGTCCTCCAGTGACACAGCGGTATGTCTGCGGACCTGCATCGCTAGAAACCGAGTTTCGATACCCGTGGTGGGCAGAGCACAGATAGCCCATTTTGTAGCTTTGTGCTTGACTTCAAACAAACATCAAACTCTTTCGCGGCCTTTGGTCATTTGTAACCTTGCTAAATACATAGGCCTTTTCCGAAATATTTCTCGGTTTTTGCTCATCAATAGCCCTTGTCGAACATTCATTGCTATCAAAAAACTTCATATAGCTAACAATATGAATATTTTCGTAATATAAAAATAAGTATATATATATAGAGTGAAGAAGCTAGATGTCCGACACTGCAAAATGGCATCTAAAAAATCTTCTTTTTTTTTCTACTTCAACCTAAAGAATGATTATCAAAACTTAACTTCATTATGGAATTTTTATTGTTTTCTCTACACAGATTATTATAATGTGTAATTTATAGTTTATAATTCTTTAATCACGTATTTTCTAAAAAGAGGCTAATTAAACTAAAATAATTTTTTATCACTTCGGTGAGGGAATATTTATCACCCTCATATATCGAATTAAGCTTCTAATTTTTAGGCTTAGAAGCATATTTGTCAGGATATTTCAAGGTTATGATATCATTGTAACTTTGCACTGATGCAACAATTAATTATATCTTTTTATAACATATTTGCGCCATGAAGATAAATAACTTTTGCTCCTCGCTGTGTGATACAAAGTTCCTTTTTATAAACGCGAACTGTTAATGGGTTTTAACATAGATGACTTCTAC